TTAAAGAGGAATAAGTTTCTCCTAATTCTTCCTGAGGGGCACGTGCAAAAGAAAAGTGTGAAAGGGGCAGGCAGTCCCGCACCTTTATCTAGAGTGCTGGGCTGTTTGTGGGTTTGTGCTAATCAGCCTCTAGACTTCTCACACCTCCTTAAGCTGCCTGAGCAGAATGGTGTGGAGAGGTGAGAGGTGAGAGCTGATTAGAAAACAATGCCTGAATGCGGCAGAGAAATGCTAAGCCTTGAAAAACTGAAAACCACTGGGAAATTGTACTCCTTTTGCAATTTTATGGCAGGCATTGATTGGAGGATGCCAGATAATCAATTTTCTGAAAAAGAACTTATTCTTATAGTTGTAATGTTTTATTACATTGTCTTTCAGGGGATAAATCTGCCTCCTCATTATTCTTTTCTTAAACCAACATCAATGTCCATCAATTTTTCCTGAGTGGGAGGCATCTTTACACAGGATTGAAAGCAATGCATACTAGGGGGAATTGCCCGACATTTTCTAGGAAGATTTTTAATTGGCTATACAAAAATTTTCCTTATTCATTACACAAAACATACCTAATCCAGGGTAATTGGATCCCACTCATAACAGGAAGTAGGTTATGCTTAATCTTCTGCAAATTAACAAGTATAAAAGTAGAACAAAGTCTAATTAAATATATTTTGAAACAAATTATTTTAGCTTTTATCTGAATATTTTTTCCATTGTCTTTCCTTGAGTAAAAGTAAAAACTAACTTTATGATGAAATTCCATAAATAAAAAATTAGGTTTCAATAAAAGTTAATATCAGTTGAAGAGAATCTTCATGGCACCAAAATAATGATTTCCTGTTGACAAGAAGTGCTAACCAGCCAAGGATATTTTGGAGCCATTAGCTATTTTTTTTTTTTTTTAGTCAATGAGTACTGAAAGCTATAAATGGATTATCTCTTTGATGGGTTTTGCTTCTATAGGTTTGTACTGCATCATTTTAAAGCTACGGTATTCTTACTTTTGGCTTTCTACAAGTAGGGGGAAAATTAAATCATTGAATGTCTCCTTTCTCCTTTATGCATTGATTTTAGTTAAAATTAGGTTTTGAAAGTTAACCTTTGTGGTGATTCCAATTTCCTTGTGTCCTTTTTTTAATCCACATAATGGCCTGGTCCCTTAGTAAAATATATAGGGTCCAAATCAGCAAGGTTTGGGCAATGCCAATTTTGCTGAAACAATTGGGAAATTTCAAAAATATATTACTAGGTCTTATTGTTAAATGACTCCATGCTAACTCAAAAGAGAAATGTTTTGTATCCCACATAACTAAATTATCATTTACTTTCAACTCTGGCACAGATTATATGGCTTTTATACAAATCACCTAACCTTTCTTTGCTTTTGAGTCTTCAAGCAAATAGGAATATAATGGGTTGATAATCATCAACCTTACTCATAGAATTACTCTGCAGGATATCCAAGAATGTCAAATTACCTTAAAACGGTTGTACAAATAACAAATAATTGCATACTCCCCCAAATCACTTATTTATTAATTTGCAAGTTACTACCTTTACCTTCTTAAAGAATGAAGTATGTGCAATGGCTAATTTACATAATTTTTTATTTAAATGCATGTAATTAATGGCAGCAAAATTAAAAAATAATTAATAGTAGTAATTTAGAGAATTACAGTTTCCTTAAGTTTTTCTACATAATGCAGTTTACACCTAATAATCGTTCAGTTAGCCCATTAATAACTTAATTACTTTAAATAGTTTTATGCCTTTATAAAATAAAAGTCCTTTCTTTGAAGGATTATAGGAATTCTCTTTGAAGTCCAACCCCACTCTCCTGTATAATTGCCTTCAGCAGCCTGCTTTCACCAAAGACGGAAATGGTTCCATTTTCTTACTGCGTTCTCTGCTCCTTAACTATAGCAGAGTTTGTAATAGGCATTTCCCCAGTATTCCCGGAGCAGAGCTCTTACCTCTCTTCAAGTCTCAGATGGAATACAGCCTTCAAATATGCCCATCAGAGATATATTAACACTTAACACTCACAGGTTCACATGTAGTCTCAAGTTGGGTGACCACAAAAACAGAGCTCTTGTGTGCATACCTAGGGGAAGTTGAATCCCCACGTATTTTTTGTTGAGAACCGTCTTGCACACATAAGCACTTTCAGATAACTCATCTGAGTTTCAGTAGAAGTTGCAAGGAGTGCATGTACATTGTTGAAACTTAACCACATGGGACTCACACTGCAGATACTTTTAAATTCCCAAGCCAGTGTAATACACACAGTTGCTTTCTCATCTCAAGATTTCTTGCTAGTTTGTGTATGAATGGCACTTTCTTAGTCAACCATTTCTCTTCAAACCTGGGAGTCCATTGCTATGCAGAAAGTTTAGTAGTGTAACAAGAGGAAAATATGGAGGCTAGAGAAGAAATGACAGGGTCTAGATTGATTTTGATCAGTGTTTTTCAAATGATGTTCTTTCCACAGAAGGGTAAATTGGGCTGACCAATGAGAGAATGGGTTCCAAAGACTTCATTTAAATATTGATTTTGAATTTTGGTATCCTTGATCTACAGATTCTGAAGGGCTTTCTCTATCTTCTTTGGTATTTTTATTTTGTCCAAATGTATTGATTTAATGAATAGGTTAGATAGAGTTACTGATGGTAGGAAATGAAGAAGAATGTATGTGTTTGCGGGGGGGGGGGGGGGGGGGGGGAGGGGGGTTGGGGGGAGAAAGGGGTTCCTGCGTTAGTTTCTATTGGAGAAAAAGCCCAAATTAGTTTTACCTGAGAAGTGAAAACAAAACTCATGTTTCCCTCCCCGCCAAATGCCAATGAAATTGCATTTCTACTTCTGTAGTAAAGATGTTTGTTTTCTCAACCTTAAATCTAGAACTTATTTCCTCTTGTGCTTTATAAATTAATCTTCTTACTTTCATCATCCAAACCACTATAAACACTAGTACATTGTGTGAAATGGAAAGAATAAACAAACCAAAAGAAAAGAAAAAAATACCTCCCTGAGACCACACAAGGATAAGTAGGGCTGATAGGTAATAGCAAAAAGGAATGTAATTATTGAGATGCATTATTAAGTAACTTCCTCAAATTGAATTAGAATTGATTTTGTTATTTCCTTAACAATATATTAAAATGGAACTGATTTTTTTTTTAAATCACTCAGAGTCATTAACATTCCTATCGATTAAGAGTTTGAACACTATTTAACCAGCATGTACTGTTTTTTGGAATATAATATCTGCCTGGCTGAAATGATTTTAGATCAGTGGTTTTCAAACTTTGCTTCTTGGAGGTTTCTTAGAAATGCCTGAGGGGCCAGCATGTGGGGCATAGGGAACGAAGCAGGAGGGATTCCCAGCTCCCTTGTTTCAACTGGGGCGACCTCATGTTTCTCTCTTTTGTACATCAAGAGTTCTGCTTAGGATTTCAGTGAAAGGAATTCCATTGCTGAAGAGAAACAAACAAAAAAATACATTGAAAATCCCTAACTTGGATAAGACTCTGTTGCAAAGGGCTAACTCCTAGAATTTATTTCACCCCAAATCTAAATTGTACATTTTTGTAAACGTGTTTTAATATCAAAATTTGAAATGGGTATTTGTGAGCGTTAATAAACAAATGTGTATTATGTGAATCTCTGTATCTTTACTTTTGCATGTATTCATTCAGACTGTATTTATTTCATGCTATTGCTGAGGATACTAAACAGAACAGGGTGGTTCTTACTATTAAAGCACTTTGGGGCAATTAAACATGTGAGGGAAATACAATGACAGTCAGCATGTAAAGCAGGCGAAATGGTAGCCTATTTGGGGTGGTGCTTAGAGAGTGGGGAGGCATAGAGGAGGGAATATTGAGAGGCTATTTTTTTTAATTAAAAATAAGAATTAGTTAAAATTTTGTTAGCATTCCTGTGGGATATTTTAAAATTCTAAGAGTAACACGTATTCACTCTAACAAATTTTGAGTTGACTTTGCAAGGACAAATGAGCTGGAAGGGTGCAAGAAATGGGAGTGGGCCGTGGTGCTGATGGCTCTGTTTCAGGCAGTCAGGGAGGCCTCCATGTAGGGTCCAGATATACTAGTGGCCATCTAGGGCTCACTAAAAAACCCAAAACTTAGTTTGCAGGTAGGCGTAAGAAAACAATGAAGTGTATGAGATTTGAATGACATACGCAGATTTGTGTCTTAGAAAACCGTCTGACAGCAATGTGCACAGTGGGTTATAAGGGAGCAACAGTGGGCGTGAGGAAACAAATCAGATCAGTTGCAAAGATCCAGTGAGCAGTGGTGATAGCTTCAACCAAGTAGCAATGGAGCTGGGAAAGAAGGGGATGGGTTCAAAAAAATCGAGGAGAATCATCAAGAGTTCCCAAGCGACAAGCTGTGAGGACTGAAGAAGAAGGAAAGGTCAGGGGTGACAACGTTTTGACTGGTGCAGTGGGTGGATGGCAGTTAGCACTTCCTAGGTGGGGATCAAGGAGCACAGGTTTAGCACAGTGAATGAAGATGGTTATCATATGTTGCTCTGTGAGAGTATGAGTGTGTAATTAAATGTGTTCTAGACCTGGATCTGAAAGTGTATAGGTTACAAACATAAGCCCTGGAGCCTGTGTGTGCACATCTTCACCCACCACTTCCTACTTATGAAGTCTTGGACCTCTAAGCCTGTTTTTGTTTTTGTTTTTTCATCTGTAAATGGGAAAATAATACCTATCTTCTAAGGTTTGTTGTGAGGTTGAATGTAGCATGCAGTAGCAACTCCATGAATATTCTTAGTATTGTTATTATTTATCTTCCTCAGACCTCACTTTCCTCATCCATAAACTCATGGCCAGGGGGTGGGGGAATACTGGACTAGATTATTTCTGAGGTTCTTCTTTCTTGCTATAAAGGTTTTCATTCTAATGTCTGCCCTTTGTTTACATGTGTGTAAGCAAACAGTTTTACTAAAAAAATGTTCATCATTTCTAGGAACTTGCCACACCAGACTCAGATTCCCCAACAGCAGACTACAGGTGAGTGCTAAATGAATGGATGTTCTAATAAGTTGATGTTTATGGGTGAAGTTAATAGATTAAAAGATAATTATACTACGTAATATAATTTACAAAACTTGAGCTTTTTTTACCAAGTAGGGCAAAATAATTGTGTCTTTCCTTAATCAGAGTTAGAACTTCAGAATAATAGCTTAGATTATTACATAGATAGGCATCAGAGTGATAAACACAGGGTCAGTGATCTTAGAGCAGCAGCATCCATGAAGGTCCCGTCTAATTAAGGAAGACTGAGTGAAACCCCCTTCCTCCAGCAAAGCGCCCTATTCTTCCCCTTGGTATGTAAGATTCTTAGCTTAGATGCATCCAGGATTTGTCTCAGTAAGTGAGCAGCTTGAAACTAACTCTTACAAAAGGAAACCATCCTGACTAATCACTGAGGCTTCAGGGGGATAAAGGAGAAATGGCTGGCCTGTTCTGATGCCACTTTTTAAAGCTGTGATAACATGACCCATGACAACAAGATGGCGGGCAATTCTTCTGGGACTATTCTATGTCCCTAAGACTTGCTTTCTTTACCTTTATTTCTTTCAAGTGTCCTTAAAAAAAAATGTCCACAACCAATTATTTCTTTCATCTTTGTACTGAGTAGGTAACTTATTCAGGATTGTCTTCTAATTAGTGGTTGAATCTCTAGTTCTAATTGCCAGGCAACCAGTAATGCCTTTTTAGCTCTTTTGGAAAACCAAGAGAAGTTTTAAAAATGTAAGTTGGATGTGGAATTCTGAGTATGAATAGTGGTATTGTGGTTAGGGGAGCTATGAAGTATGTCTCTTGAAAACTTTAGGCCCATATAGGAATGTATTGGATATTTTCATTCAAAAATTATCTTCTCTATTACTGCTTTCGGGAATTTAAGGAGATTTTCGTTTGACAACTTTTCAAAGATTTGAGGCAAGTATAATGCAGTTTGTTCATCAGATTCTAATTATGAGATAACATTTATCAGAATTTCCCCCTACAATTTTGGTTACTTGTTTTAATTAAATGCTAACATGTTTCAACAAGACTGTTCAATATATCGATGTAAGCATTCAGGAGATTGATGAAGGAACAAACTTTGTTATAAATAGGTTATCTAAAGAGCAAAGAAATAAATGAATTTCCACTACATCTAATTACATGGCTTTTTTTTAAAGAGGAAAAATTTTAAAGAATATTTTTACAATGGAAATGCTAAAACTTCTTTTTCTTTCACCTCATGGACTTTACTCTGATTCTTAATTATTTCAGGCAAAGAATGAATAGAAGGGAGATAATTTCTGGCAAAATAGAAATATTGAGTATTTTTTAAATTCACATTTTACTTATTCCCCCACTGGGGGAAATAAGGAAACCTAAATAGATGATATTAGGAAGATTTACTTCATATTTATATAGATTTCTAGCAAGCAGACCTGTTAGCATGTTTCGTTTTAGTAATAGGCAGCATTTCCAAATACAAGAACAATTCGTGCCTAAGTAAATGTGACAAGAGCCAAAGAATTTCCCTAGGGGGATTTTAGTTGTTCAATCTATTTTTTTAAAAATTATTTTTCAAAAGCAGGTTTTGGGGAGCAGACATTTTGCTTGAATCAGGAAAGCTTTGATTCCCTTTTCAGTTAATACTATAGCCTATTGCCTTCTTGTTTGCTTATATTTTTCTGTAATTTCAAGCATATTATTGACAAAAGTGCACTATTTTCTCATGGTAGTTTTCTTTCTTCATCTTGTTTTCAGTGAGTCTCTAAAGTGTGTCAATACTAAGAGAGAGAGAGAGACTACCCTAGCAGTTTTAAAAAGATAATTGTGATAGATTGTTGTGTTTCTGCCTCTGGTAAATGTGAAGTCAAATAGAGTCATGTCTCCTGGAGAGAAGGGCTAAGTGGGCAGGTTATATTCTTTATTCCCATTCTGTTCATTTGAATGAAAAAGTTTGTTACTCAGTTTCTAAGTTTGTTCTGTTCTGTCTGCACGCGCATGGGTCCGGTCCTGTTAGTGCACTTTCATGGGTACAACCCCTTTTCTCTTCCTTCCTCCTGGAGATCATAGTACCACAGAGAGGCAACAAGGTTTGTGCAAGAGCATCAGGAAGTAATCATTGCTTTTCTCCAGCACCTCATCGCACTATGTTATGTGTCAGTTTTCTTTTCTTGTGGTTTTTTTTTTTAATTAAATGTATTGGGGTGACAGTGGTGAATAACAGTATATAGTTTTCTTGGTGAAGGTAATGTAAGCTCAAAGAATGTCTCTTGGATCCCAAGAAATTTTATTTGTAACTGCCTATATGGAATTTGTGAGGGAAGAGTATATTTTGAAGTTTGTTTTATTTAGTTGTTTTCTTTTAAACGACCATCGGACGTTGAAGAAATGAACTAGCCGTGGTGGCATAATCCTAGACTTAAGCGCTAGCTAGGATAATAGAGCAGTTAGACGCTGACGGTAAACAACCCTTGCTTTTGAACCAGGCCCAGGCCATTAGGATTGATGCCCTTCCCGAGTTTCTCATTTTCTCAGCCTTTCCAACCCACCTGATATTTTCTAAAAAGCCACGATTAAAAGGTACAGTCACACACCCCACAGTGGACCCGCACTCTGTTTGTTCATTGTGGGAGGAATTTTCAGGCTTGTGCCTTTTGGCAAACGCAGAACATTGTAGCTTTGGCCCAAGAAGGAGAGGACTAAATTAGAATTTTTCCTCTTTAAATTTTTTTAAACCAAATGCAGAGAAATTATTTTAAATTATGTTAAGAGGATAGAAAATCACTCCTTGCCATAATATATTTTGCTCAAGATCTACGAGTGTCCATGCCCTGACTAACGCATGCCCATATCCACTCTTACACATTGCAGGTAAATGGTATCCCTGAAGAAAGAAAACTGACCGAAGCAATGAATTTGTAATCAAACAATATAGCTGTTATAGATTATTTCTTCTCTCTTCCTTAATGCATGAGCTTTTCTGGCATATGGTATGCATGTTGACAGTATTAAGTATATACCAAATAATTCAATATAGCTTTCATTTTACTAATGTATTTCTTTTGTACTTAAAGCATTTTTGACAATTTGTAAAACATCGATGACTTTATATTTGTTACAATAAAAAGTGATCTTTAAAATAAATATTATTAATGAAGCCTACCTAACGTCTGGTGAAATTTACTTCAGAAAGTAGTCGATTGCCTCCTATATAGTAGGAAGCTTTTGTTGCTAAGGAATAGGCTCATGTGTTCATTCTTTATTCAACAAGATTTTATTAAGCATTTCCTGTACATATATAAAATGTCCATACTCTGTGTCCTAAGTGAGCAACCCATTTAAATAACACTCTTATCCTTGTGGCCCATAAAGCCTGCTGTCTTATACATCATTTCTTGGAGTGTTTTATAGGGTAGGCATGGTTTTATGGGTTGTGGACCTGAAGGCACCCAGTTCGTGGAAGGCAGCCCAGGGTGCACAGTTACCTGACTCGATAATCTGAGGAGCTGTTGCTCAAAGAGAATAGTTACCTGTTGATGGTGACATGAATTAGCTCCAAAACCCCAGGGTCCCCTGTGATATGGCTGGAGCTCAGCTCTGCTGGTAGTTACTATCAAGAGAGAAAGACCATCATTCTGCTGAGAGCCACTATTTACCTGGCTACATAAGTGAGTTAAAATTTTTTAAATAACATTATGTAAATTAACATCCTAAATACTAAATAAAGTATATCTTTAGCCTCTTGCTCAAAGAGACTAGTTACCTGTTGATGGTGACACGAATTAGCTCCAAACCCCCAGGCTCCCCTGTGATAACAGTACTTTCCAGGCTTAGCAGAGTTCCTCACACTGTGTCAGTCCACTTCATGCGCATTGGGTTAATGTGGCCGGCAGGCCATCTCGCAGGGCTGCGGTAAGCAGACTGGGCCAGTCAGAAAACCTTTCCTACTCTGCTCTGGGGAGGTTTCTGTGTTACCTGTTAACTGCTCAGAGGACACCCAGATGCTACCTAAATCTGATTCCAAAATCTGAAAAGACTCCATGTGAGTAATGCATGCAGGTGCTTGCCCTCCACTTAGGAAGAATACTCCATCATGTCCTTGACACTGGAAACCCTGCCCACACTCCACTTCCTGGGATTTAACAGAGGACATAGGTTATTTGATTTCTTAAAAACTGTATCTCCTATTCTTAATTCCTTTCCAAGACAACTAGGACACTGCTACTTGCTGTTCTTCAGGACTGATCATCTTAAGGTTGTAAATATATTGGGTCAGGTTCATGTCCTAGAACAGTGATGGTGAACCTATGGCACGCGTGTCAGAGGTGACACATGAACTCATTTTTTTTTTTGGTTGATTTTTCTTTGTTAAATGGCATTTAAATATATAAAATAAATATCAAAAATATAAGTCTTTGTTTTACTATGGTTGCAAATATCAAAAAATTTCTATATGTGACATGGCACCAGAGTTAAGTTAGGGTTTTTCAAAATGCTGACACGCCGAGCTCAAAAGGTTCGCCATCACTGCCCTAGAAGGAAGGGGAGGTCGCCATGAGTATAGATGACTAGATATTGGCACAGCAGAAGAGAATTTGTGAACTGTTGCTCCTGCCAAGTGATCGCAAACTGTTTCTGGTAGTCCAAGTGAGCAGGAGCAAAGCAATGCATGATCCATAAATCAAGAACTGCAGGTCAGGGATCAGGAAGTTTATTCATCTGTACTGGGAAAGAGGCCACTATAGGATTAGAAACTGCATTTGGAAATAGCACCAGTTTTTGCACTGACCCTACTGAGGAATTAAATGGGGATAAGAAGAATCATTGGCCAGCATCTCACAAATCTTTGATCAGTGCCTTAATCTCTGTAATTTCCTCTGAAAAGGCTATCTTACCTCTGACTTTATATTTTGATAGGACGAGTCCAAATAGTTTCTCACTAGGTGTTGCTACCCAAATGGTCCTCACTTTATGGGTCAAAAAGATTGTGGAGGCCCTGCCACATGCTGAGCATTTCTATCCCAACGAAACATCCTCCTAGTGGGCAAATGAGTGCATGGTGAGTTTGGGGTCCCCGTGGTGAACTTAAGTTAGAATACTTTTTTTTCAATTGGCTACAGTAAGGTTTTGCTCTAAAAAACCAACTGTGGTGCTTTTCTGCACTTTCAGGAATTCAAGAAACTCAGATCTAGATTCAAAATATCCCTGAAAAGCTTGTGGCTTTTCCTTCCTCCAAGGTACAGTCACCCGATAAATTATGATTTCTCTTTGGCTTCTACTATGTAAAATCCTCACATAAAATCATGTATTCTAGTATCTGTAAGTTCACACTGAGATTATAGAAAACAGCATTAGATAAAAACATTAAGGCTAAATTTGAGGCAAAGAGAATACTTAAAAGATAATTAAGTAGAAAACAATGCCAAAGTCAGAACCTCCTAGTACAGATATAGCAAATAGATGGGGTCTGATCTCTGGGATCAGTGGTCTAAGATTTGAGCTATTATTCCTATGTCCTGACCATACCCAATTGAGGGGATGGATAAAAATTTTCAAGCAAGCCATTTGAAGATGAAGCTGCTTCACAAATTTGCATTTTGAAATTTCCCATGGAATACCCTACTAGCTGCTTATGTATTGCATGCCCAATATGTTAATAGGACTCAGGTCATGTTCTGAGAATACTGTGGTGAGCCAAACAAAATCAGGCTCTGCCCTCAAGGAGTTTACATTCTAGTGGGAAAGACAGACGTTAATCAAGTGGTCATACAAATAAATGTCCAATTGCAATTGTGATTGGTGCTATAAAACCTGATCACAATGGGACTTGACCTAGTCAGCAAGGTCTGAGATTTCCTGAGACAGTTTGTGCTGATATCAAAAGGATGAGTATGAATTCATAAGATCAAGTGAAGTAAAGAAGAATGTTTGAGGCAGAGAGAACATATCTTGAGTCCTTTTGGGAGAAGAAATCCTAGTGAATACAGGTTTCTCTTAGAAAGTCCAGTGCAGCCAGAGTATGAGTTAGAGGGAGGGGATGTTTGGAGTGTGGAGAAGGAAGGTGTACACAATTTGGAGAAATAATAAATTTTTATTAGAATGGTGGTGGAAGAGAGGGAGAGAATGGACAGATTCAAGAGCAACTAATGAGATAAAGAAAAAACAGTTGGTACACTCATACTTAGAAATGTTGTTAAAGTGCCCTAACCAGTTTGGCTCAGTGGATAGAGTGTCGGCCTGTGGACTGAAGGGTCCCAGGTTTGATTCCAGTCAAGGGCATGTACCTTGGTTGTGGGCACATCCCCAGTAGGGGGTGAGCAGGAGGCAGCTGATCGATGTTTCTCTCTCATCGATGTTTCTCACTCTCTATCCTCCTCCCTTCCTCTCTGTAAAAAAACAATAAAATATATTTAAAAATTGTTTTTAAAAAAGAAATGTTGTTAAAGTAAAGAAAGGGGCTAATTCTGATGGGGGGGGGGTGGTCAAATGGTGCAATCCATTGAGATAGAAGATAATAGAATACATGATTTTATGTGAGGATTTTACATAGTAGAAGCCAAAACAGAAAAGTGCTGATCTTTTAAAAAATATTTCCCTTACTTTCATTGAGATATAATTTGCATATAATATTGTATAAGTTTAACATGTACAGAATAATGATTTGATATATTTATATATTGTGGGATTATCACAAATTTAGATAATATCCATCACCTCACATAGTTATCAGATTTTTTTCTTGTGGTGAGAACATTTAAGCTCTACTCTCTTAGCAATGTTCAAATATACAATACAGTATTGTTAACTATAGTCACCATGCTGTATTTAACATCCCAGAACTGATTTATAACTAGAAATTTCTACCTTTTGACAACCTTCAGCCATTTCCTCCACCCCCTATCCCTTGGATCTGCCAACCACAAATCTGATCTGTTTCTAAGAGTTTGATGTTTTTAGATTCCACATATAAGTAAGATCTTACAGTATTTGTCTTTCTCTGTTTGACTTATTTCACTTAGTATAATGCCCTAACAGTCCATCCACATTGTTGCAAATGGCAGAATTTCCTACTTTATGGCTGAATAGAATTCCAATATCTAATTCAAACTACTTATGGAGCACTTAGATATGCCAAAGATTGCTATAGACATTGGGAATGTAGCTGTGAAAGAGACGTGGCCATCTTAAAAGTAGGTTGTATTGGGTCAAGAAATCTGTTTCTTTAGTGCCACCCTAGTAACTAATCTGTTGTCTTTTTTGTATGATTTTTAAATCATCACCTGAGGATATTTTCCCATTGATTTTTAGAGAGAGTGGAAGAGAGAGGGAAAGACAGAAATATTGATGTGAGAGAAACATATTGATTGATTGCCTCCTGCACAAGCTCCGACCAGGGGCCAGGCTGTAGAGGAGCCTGCAACCGAGATATGTGCCCTTGACCAGAATTGAACTAGGGACCATTTGGTCCGCAGGCCAATGCTCTATCCACTGAGCAAAGCAGCTAGGGCTTTCTAACAACCAATTGGGAATGAAATTGATTGCTTTTATAGGTAAATTCACAAAATGCACAATACAACGGACATATGGAATTAGTTTGGTTGTCCCCCCAAAACACACACTCACGTTGTTCATTTAGGGAGGTGATCCCAGGAAGCCAGAGTGTGGAAACAGAGTGAGGAGGTTAGGAGGTTCTGAAGGAAAGCCAACAAAAAGATGTCATTCACCAGGCTCTTATTCTAGAAAGCAGAACTCGGTCCTACTAGAGGTCCTCTAATTGTGTAGAATGCAGCTCAGAATTTCCCTTCCAAGTAACAGGAGAATTACTTTCATCCACTGGCTCACCATCCCAGAGTTGAGAGTTGCTCCAGGGAGCATGAATTCCCTTGCACTTTGGGGCTTTGGTTATGAGTGGGCTGAGCAAGATCCCAGTGTTCTGGAGAAGTTGGGAGGTGCTGTGGAAACTTGAGTTGAAAATCTCAGAAAGAAAACTGAAGAAATTATTAGCAAAATGTCTTGATCCCTTGATAGATTTTGCATAGTATCATTGACAGCCAAAGGCAGTTCCTATATTACTAGTACTTCTTAGTTGGCATTTCACTTTGCAATGGGATGAAGACAACTTGTGATATACATGAGATTACTAAAGAAGAATCTCTTGATGA